TAGTGACACGTAGTCTTATCCAGCTTGAGATTTGCAATTATCAATGGGAAGATATGTAAACTCAAACTTAAATGGTTTCGAGAAACTTCAAAAGAATTGAACTATATACCTTTTTATACTTATTACTCAACATTTTCACTTCAAGCCAATCAAAATAGCTCACATCTTGTAGATCTGGTAAACTGCCGACGTCAAGTCGTTGAGAACTGTGCGTCATCGCCACTGCTTGTAGGTGATGATAGACATCATTGCAATGTTGTAATGAGAATCGTCGCCGAGCTGAATCGATGCTGGCGACAAGGCGACTGCGACGAGATGTTGTATTTCGCGGCGAGTCGCGAGAGTCTCGTGACTCACGATTGGATCTGCTTGACTTGGGCGAGTCTGAATCGACGGACATCCGTCGAAGGAAGGATGTCACGGACATCTAAAAATGATGCATATAAGTTGCTATCTAAATGAGGTTTACAATAGTTGATGTGGAATAGCAATAACGACTCGAAATGAATATTTGTTTTGCTTCCTGAAGGTGTCTGTTTCTGCGGAAAATCACATAATTACCATAAAAACATGGAAAACAGCTGCTATTTAGCAAGAAAGTAATGAAAGCAAAGACAAATAGCTGGGAAAGATCGCGGCATAACAGTCAGAGAAATTCCCACTGGAGAGAACAATTGCATTGGAGAATGAACAATTGCAATGGAATAATCCATTTGATATTTGAAAACTATTTGCAGCACTGACTGCAGACTAGAAATCTATATAAGACGACCATTATGTTCAATAAAGTAAAAAGAAGTTTCTCATTATAAAAATGCAATTTTTACCAAGAATTTTCAAGCTCAGAATCTTCCGCTGGATTGAACCACTAAACCATATAATTCCTGTTATGTTCACAATATAAAAAGTATCATACCCTTCTTCTTTGTTTGAAAAATAGCCATAATGGAAAGAGATAGATTTAATGATTATAAGCGAAAGCCTCAGAATTTCAGGAAATTCATGCAAAATCTTTTTAAAAAAAAGGTTAAAAAGTGTAAAATAAACTTGAAACGAAATTCATACAAGAATTAGGGTTTTAAGAATAAATTTATTCCAAGAATCAATAATTTCGGTCCTGAATATTTAGTTACAGATAGATTGATTAAAGTAGAAAAGTGAAGTTTAGGCGTTACTAAGCGACGAATACGAAATATCAGTTTCTCGAGAGGTTTTCGTCATTCATTTAGTGTATGAGTTATGAACTTTTGATACATGCAACAATATCGGGAACTGAGCCTCACAAATTGTTTTTTTTTTCTTAAATCAACAAGAAAATTGGCAT